ACTATACACACTACACTCCAAATCTCGAAGTCTGATTGGGCGTGTCACCGGAAATGACGTGGCAGCCACCGCACTTGATAGAAATTGCGCGGATAAGCTGCTTCCAGCATGCTTCGCTGATATCTGGCGGAGTATCTTATCCACGTGGCATCTAGCAAGTGCGATGGCTGCCACGTCATTTCCGGTGACACGCCCAATCAGAGTTCGAGATACCGACTGTAGGACTAGGTACTGGAGGGAAATATGTTCAAGGTGAGTCCGGACGGTGCAAGTGGATTGAGAGCGTTTTTCTTTTACCAGCTCCCGCTGAAAAGGTGGAAATTAGGCGCTCGAAGAGAAATAAGATCAACGACGAGAGTTTTATGCTATGAGATTCTCATGGTCTAATCTTTCCGCACTCAAGTATTATCGATGACAAAGATGTTCTTTGAGGCGTTCTGCTGAAAAGAAGGATAATTGCTGACCAGGAAAAATTGACTATACAGCATTCAAATGCCACTGCAATTTTGAATGTAGGTGAATGCATGGCGCATCCCAAAGGAAATGATCAACGACGAGAGTTTTATGCTATGAGATTCCCCATGGTCTAATCTTTCCGCACTCAAGTATTATCGATGACAAAGATGTTCTTTGAGGCGTTCTGCTGAAAAGAAGGATAATTGCTAACCGGGAAAAACAGCATTATTTCTACGAATATCAATTTGCAGCCATTTCCATGCAGAATCGGCGTCAGATTATTATTAGTAATGGCAACACGTCATATTTCCGCGTAACTTCTAATAATCGCTCAACTCAGCCCATATTTCGCAATGACATCATAGTGACATCATGGGCGGGCACTGCAAAACACCACGTGTAGTGTGGAGACGCAGACACATCGCGCCCCGGACGAGGCAGTACACAGATCGGTGGAGTGCGCAAACAATGGTGTCGGTGAGCGTTTTGTGCGGCGTGGTGTCGTCGCTCAGCTAGTCCACCGGCACCCGGTTCTGCAGCACAACCATCTTGCACCAGCTATCGATCAATATATTCAATCAATCGTTCATCAGCTGTACCTACAACAATGGCTAGGTGAGCTTCATCTGGTCGGTTGTATTGATTTTATAGTCACTGATCGGAAAGTGCGTTGTGGAGGTTCAAGCTCCGACGACCTTAGTGCGGAGGTATTCGCCAGCAGCTCCCACTTGGGGATATTTTGCCTTTGGCGTAGGTACTTGACAGGAGATTTCTTCAATGTTTTTGGAGGTTTCTGTCAGGTACGGGTTCTAGAGGACGGGTTTATTATTGAGTTCAAGTCGTTCAAAATCAGCGCCGCGCCAGGCATTCGTTGATCAAAGTTCAATCCGAAAGGGTTCTATTGGCCGTATTTGGGTGAGGGTTCATTTGCGGAGCATTGCTGTTTTTTCTGAAAGGTAGGGACCCCAATTTTAATAGGATTTTTTTCAAAATAACTGCGTCTCACCAGCTGTTTCCCTTGCCCGAACTCTCGTTGGCCCGTTTGGGAAAGAGGAGTAGGTAATTAATTGGTAGCTGACGGCAGCCGCAAGCAGGAAAGGAGTTAGCGAGGCGTATGAACCCTGAAATTTTACCCGCGTGATGTTGAGCGCTTATCAAAACGCTGTACGCAATTTGGGCATAGCGAGCGGCAAAATGTGTCAGCACTTGATTCCATTATTCTTGACAAGCGATATAGAAGTTCCTGTTTTGAATTCACCGCTTGTTTTTATCATCATTCGGGAAATGACGTCAAAATTCTCAGTGCCAAACATACGCCCTAGGACTTGCTGACAGTAGCTGTTCCTTTCGTCACAGGACCTCACTTCATAGTGACACTCACTTTGTACCAACTACTGCTCACGTTTCATTTGCTTTTCTCCACTATTCGGGATGCTTGGTATTGTAGTAATTCAGCTTAAAAATGTGCCTATATCATTTAGTTTAAAGGAATCTTCCACGGACCATGGACCGGGACCGGAAGTGGTTTTGCGACGAAATGCATGGTAGGTACGGATCCACGTTCATGGGAAGGTTTGAAGTGAATCCTGTTCACGTTCGTGCGTTCGACACGTGGATCCGTACCTACCATGCATTTCGTCACAAAAACTTCCGGTCCCGCCCACTGGTCCATGGTCCGTGGAAGATTCCTTTAAGAATTACGCAGACGTTAAACCAGTGATTTTTACGAAACAGGAAGAAAAGTGAGTCATCGCGAATTTCGACACTTTTTCTGCTGCTGTGAATTAATGGCGTAGAATCATGGATCGTATAGTATAAATATGGGGTCTATTCCGGTAAGAGGGGGCGTTGCAGTCCACGGTCTGCTCTAGTGCCTACTTTGACTCAACGAGTTCGTAAATGTTACAAACTTCGTATAATGTATGCTATACGTGTTTTTACGATTTTATATAGTTTTTGGGTCTATTCCAGTTAGGGGGGCATCATGATGCAGTTTCTCGGCGAGCTAATGTAAACTCGAACATTCCAGCTTCTCACGCATGTCAAGTGACTGCCCTCACCCCCACCCCCCTAGGCTGGCTACACTCCCCCTGGCTCAGAGTTACCGTAGCTTTTTGGGAGTCACCGCACCATGATGCCCCCTAACTGGAAGAGACCGTGTATGTGTTCTTGTGTTTTGTGATATAAAGGTCTATGAGGAGTAATATTCATCTAGTGAGCAGTCGGGTCTAAGCCAAGTAGAGGAGGAAGTTCCCCGGGAAAAACGAAGGTTGCTGCCTACCCGGGGTTTTCCTCTCTTCTAAGGCTTGGTCCTGAATCTTTTACACTAGGAGTGTATGATTCCATGGTAAACATGTTGAGCGCTTCAAACCGCATGCCCCTCCCCTTACTGGATAGGCCCTAGATATTGTTCTTTCACCATCACATGGTAGAAATTTCACTTCCTGTCAACACAACTTACGTATTAGGTGCACGTAAAAGAAGAATCATCGTCAAAACAAAGCTGTGGTTGCAGTACTCTTGATGCTATTTGTGCCCACCCCACGAGTGGTAGTTGTGTTTTCACTTTGGTACCCCTCAATATCTCTACACTTCCTCGTTCATTGTTTCCCATCGAGATTACTGTATACTGACAATGCATATGGGCAGTTGAGCAAGTTCATTCATTGTGCTTTTGATAAATATAAATACAGTTATTTTTTGATTAACCCTGGACCTCTAAATATTACCAGCTGACATTCGTAGAGTATAAAAAATGGGTGTTCGTCAGAAATATAGGGGCTGGTTCCAAACTACAGTGCTAAGACTGTATTATAACTTCAGTCCGGTACCATTCGTACCTAGTAAGTAGCTGCCCTCACCCCCCACCCCCTAGACTGCCTACACTCCCCCTGGCGCACAGGTTTCTCGATGTACGGGACCCCGTGAGCCAGGGGGTGTGAAGGCAGTCTAGGGGGTGGGGGGTGAGGGCAGCTACTTACTAGGTACGAATGGTACCGGACTGAAGTTATAATACAGTGTCTAATGAAGCGTTCGTGTACGGTAGCGCGAGTAGTTGTTTACCTCTCTTAACCAGAGCAGTTTCAGTTCTCATTCTTTTCCACAATTGTCCACACATCATGCCACAGTAATTGTTCTGTATTTGTTCAGTAATTTTCATGAGTTTTCGTTGTCTACAGCTGGACTGCCGACGTTGCCTTTTCCTCGTGAATCTAGGCTGTGGCTAGTTTTCTCAGGTTGCTTCATGTCTCTACACAGTTTTGCTAGTTTATTTACTAGACTATATTCCGAACATGAAATTTTCTAATCTGTTTTTCGCTTTTTCGAATTTGTTGCGCTAGTTGCTTCGAAAACAAATCATTAGTGTTTCATAACCTGTTTGAATCTTCTAAAAATGCACATCATTATCAGCTATTCTTCTCGAAGAAATCTCTGTGACATTCTGTGAGTCTTTCAAATATTCTCCCGATGTTTATATATGCATAAAAGCATTGAAAGTGTTTGTGGTTTTATTTCGAAATCGTTGGTTTTTGTGATGTTGCGAAATCTCATGGTTGAAGCTCAAATAGCTGATCACTGAATCGATTAAGATTTCGGGCCGTTCGAGTTTGTTCACCTATAAAATATGGCCGTAATATTCAATTGTTATGCGTGCTTAAACGGATTTCAAAGGGCAATTTTATAAATGAGAAAATGAATTGTGAAGAGGTTGTGCACTTGTTTCCTATTTTTGGAGATTTTTTGGAATTATGCTAAGTAAATAGGAAGAAATATGGCGACGGCTACGCTTTGGACAGGTCTTATCATACTGTGGGAATTTGTGACGGGGTAGGATTTTTGGCTTTATATTGATCCATAGACACTATGTACCGTAGTCACTTTTCAGGCCACTGAACCTAGCAGTGAGTTGGTCTTTTAGAGTGGCTAGTTTTAGTGGATATAACTCCTTCCTGTACTGTTTTTGGCCTCGGTCTCATCATGGAAGAGGTGAAATGGAAGTAATCTGCCACTTGTCCACGTCTACTTTACTTGTATAGCTTCCATTTTGTTGCCAGTACTTTTAATAGTTAACAAGAAAACGAGAGTTGGGGCGCTATTTCATGTGATCATGATTTTTTATTTTATTGGTAGTTCGTAGATCCACTTTTTCAACTCACGGCGTAATTTAATTACCAGCATTTTTATACGAATTTGTTTTTGATCGTGACTGGTTGTTGAATGTTATCTGCAGCACGGGACGTATCTGTGTGTCAGTGTAATGCGCCCGTCACTCCTATTTAGTGTCGGAGTTTCTCGCGCGTGACGTCATACTCTTACTCTGAATAAGCTCTATCTAGTTTCGATTCGTCGATATTATTCACACGCTATGACTATGAAATTATGTCATTGTCATTCTCACTATGACGTCACCTTCTTACTCTCAAACAGCTTTCGGTATTGTGAAAGTTCAGCTGATTGCTCATTGTTGTTGGAATAGTCACATGTTTCTATTTAAGTCTTCCTGTCAGCCATGACATCATTTTAACGCTGATTGCTTGGATTACATCTTATAAAGCGTTTCCTCATAGGGCAAATGAACGATGCTATCAGTTAGTACATTTGTGGTTCCCTTTGGGGCCTGTCTTCAGCGCTACCTTCTGTTTCCTACTTGGAATTGTTTTGCCCATTGGCTTTTCTGAAACGCATTCTCAGAATTCAATCCGTTCTTTCTATGCTGTAATTTCGCTGTAGCATTCGTAAATGAGCAAATCCCCCATTCATGGTAGGGAGTGGGAGTGGGAGTTAAGGACAGCAATGGTGTGGCAGAAGGTGGTGCCACATTCATGCGCTTGGCACTAGGAGTGAGATCCAGAAAAGAATTTTTGCGTAGTGTTACCGAACCTTCCGTCCCTTTGGGGACTGATGAAAATGTAATGCGCGACGCATTGAAAGGGCATGCTCCACGCCGAAGGCGTTTTTCTAGTAGGCTGGTGTCAGAGTCCGCGATCCGTCACAGGTTTCGCGCAAATCGCGTGAATCGCTCAAATTGCGAAAATCGCGAAAATCGCGAAAATCAGCGAGACCTGCGACGGATCGCGGACTCTGACATCAGCCTAATCCTTTCATGTGTAAGTGTAATGATCTTTTATGTCAAGGTTTATTAAATAGAAATTCAGCGAACATCGTCTAGTATTGGTTAGCGTTAGAATGCCTTTAAATGATGTTCAAGTATGTCTAATCAAAGAGAGATACTTCCGTTCAGGGAATGACAGTATTGTTAGGCGGGATGGAGATCTCGGCAGCTTCTCTGGCAGCTATCGTTCGTAACGCCGATACAACAACTGTGAGTTTTTATGCTTTCTAATTTGCCGATAATTGCTTGTTTAATTGTTTTTCAGAAAGTAGTAGGCTATATTTCGTGAAAGCACCTAGCTTCCCGTCATAATTATTTGTTGCTATGACATCCCATATTGAAGGATTTCCTTCCAGCACCCATTAACTTTTTTACTCCCTTGGATAACAGGGATCATAAAACTTGCCCGTCATAAGTAGTGCCTGCGGTAGATCACTCCGAAGAAAATATTCACTTTGATTCTTAATATTTGAAGAAAGATATATGCGCCGTGAATGACGAGGAAAGCGGGAATCGTTGTTGCATAATCAGTCGAGGGATTGGATCTCGCTTCGTCGAACAGAACTTATTTTTTGCATGGTCGCCTGACAGTGGATAGGTTGAAAACGTCGCTTTTCATGGCCGCCGTCACTAGTCGTGTAAATCACTCAGAGTCCACCTATGATCACCTTCAGACTAGAGCTCGATATGAATTAGAAAGAAAGTCTGGTGCCACTTCGAAAAAGAGCGATTAGTTAGCGCTAAGCAATCCCGCTAGAAGCACCCGTTCAGGAAAAGGCCTGTTTATTCAACATATCAAACTGGTAGTCATGTCAAGTTGGCAATAAGTTGATGATTTGTAATTATTTGACAGTCTCAGAAAAATCGTTTAGCTCATCGTTGACTGTCGATGCCTAGCCGAATTCAAGCAATCTCATATATGTCGTGCAACGAATCCATTTTATTCGAAGTTACTCCAACGACGCCTTTTAGAAAACAAGGTTTGGTTTTAACTTATCATGCTGTGGATACGTGAACAATCCTTTTCCTACAAGTTCCACGTCTTTTGTGATGTAGCTAATTATCACATGTTTTCTGAAGTAAAGTGGTAATGAAAAAGTGCTTGACCTACTAAGTAGGCAGGGTCTTTTTCTGAACTAAAAAAGACTTGCAAGAAGTCAAAATCTTCTTCTCAACGTTGTTTTCTCAAGCAATCATCGTAATGTCTTTTTTTTATTTTTTGCTAGATAATCTAACATGTAGCAGGTATGTAACCGCTTGCCGTGGGGTGTTTTTTGTTGGATTACGGTATCTCATTATTGATCAACCCAACGTTGTGTAAATAACACAGGTCTTCCCATGTGTCGAGTTTTCAGTGGTTAAGTTGTGGCTTCTGCGATCACGGGATCAGTATTTGAATTCGAAATGCGAGTAAAAAATAAGGGTGCTGTTTTCTGTAGATGATTCATAATGCACCAGTGGGAGCAGTTGCCTAGTTATTACGAGCACATCTTGTGAGAATGAGGGATTTTGTTTGTGATTCATTAAGGAGCACTAGTCAAGTGCAGGCACGTGCATTCAGTCGTTTAGGAGTAATTTTTGATTCCCCATAGAACACGTCATTACTACGAGGACGTTTAGACTCCCAATCAGTCAGAGTGTGTGATGAGTCAGTCAATAGCTGTAGTTTTGAAATTCGATAGCAGTCTGTTTACTCCCGTATTTGGTCTATTTTTGGGATATAGAAGGGTTCAGTATAAGGGGATATTTTCGGGCATGTTTTTCACTTTTTGTTTTGGAATGAAAAAGGAATTCAGTTTTTTGAGAGAGGCTACTTTTAGTCAAGTAATAATGACTTGGAGTTGTTTGTTACTTTTATTAGTATCTCTAATGATCTAGATCAGATAGTTGAACTTGTTGAACTGTAGACATCAACCCGTTGGCGATATCTCGACGCTGCGCCTTGTGGGACAAGACGACTCGATGTAGGGATGCAGCATTAAAAACAGGGTTCAATTTCCTTAGTAACATCTTGATCAGCAGGCTCTGTAGCCTTTATAAGCAGGTTGATTCGTCGTCAGCGCTAAAGAGG